ACAGTTCGTCTAGGAAAGTACTGCCACATTACCTATTTCTGTCGCCAAGCAATAATGTAAGCATTACTGCATTCCGGTTTTGAAGGGTAAGGGTGCTGGTGAAATTACAGGCATATGGGACTTTTCAACCTAAACCTCAAGGTGATGGGCGCGGTGCCTTTCAGGTTATTGCGATTTAAAGCTCTGAGTGGCACGGCAACTGTTATGGACAGGTCTGTCACTTACCAACAGGCGTACGACTTGTTCGTCCCATCACTTAGTATCTTAAAAGAATGTTTTTATATCAATGCGTAGGCTAAATTTATGTTCTTTGTGTTTTTGTTTTACCCTGTGAAGTGATTATATTTTTTTGTTTCTGCTGGTAATTGTGCAGAATAAACGTTTTATCTATTTACCTAAAAGATAATATCTGTTATCAATTCCTTTAATAAATATGTTTTGTTCCTAATTGTACGCGTCTATTTTTTTCTGTTATTGAAGGAAATCATAATAATAATGTTACCGGATGACCTAGACCTCCGGAGACTTAGTTAAGCGGCTGATAATCATAATCAGTGATGTCCAACATCTTATCGCACACGAAACCAAATATTGTTGTAACTACAAATTGTAGAGTTGAGGAAACACGATTTCAAAATTAAGAAAACAACACGGAAATCTATATGTATAAGTGTTCCCTTTTGTAAATGGATAATCAGATAAGATGTATAAATAAAAGAAATGTAAACCTTCAGTATTTTTTTTGGAATTTACAAATTGTGTTTTCAACAATTTTGAGTTACGACAGTATCTGGTTCAATGTGCGTTATGATTTGTTGTTTTAAATGATATGATATTGGGATGCGCGAAAGGGTGCACGGCACACGACGTACCAACCCTTTCCTGTACGTCTGGTGCAACCAGGGCAGCAATGGGTGAGTACCTTACGCCAGTTAGCAAACCCTTTCACCACGTTAGTAAGCATTATACAGAGTTATTTTGTAAAATACTAACAACCTCTCTGGACTATGTTACTAACATCATAAATAACAAACTTTTGTTCCATGTCGTTTAAAAAAAATATAACAAATTTACCAAAAGTAAACTTTTAAGTTTTTGTTGCACTATCTGATACTTTTTAGATCTGCATTTGGCAGAAAGGTTGCAAGTTCAAATGTGCAGGCATCCCCCCGGTGACCCCATTGTCGCACAGAATTATGATTGTGTAGAGTGATTTATTTAAATGTTGTAATTTTTGTATGAAAGTAAACCTTACCTTAAGTAACCTTACCCTCCAAAACCGAAACACAGTAATGCTGACATTACTGCTTGGCGGCAGAAATCGGTAAGGTGGCAGTACTTCCCTGTATGAACTCATTCACAAAGAGCTACTAAAAAGCCTTGCTAAGAGTAAATAGACTTATATTGGTTTATACAGTACTCAAGAAAACGACAAGGGTCTGTGCACCTACTCTTTACTTAAAGATTTTAAAAAAGAGAAAAGAAAAAGTCAGAGGGATTTTGTTTCTGGTCTCAACGTGGTAGGTTTGTACTGAATATATCGACCGTGTTTTATAGAAACGTTATAAGCCACAACTTCGTAAATTTTTCAGAGGAGCTTGTTTTAGTTTTAACTATTATTTTGAAATATTAACGTCCGATTTTAAATTTAATTTTAAAACTTAAATGTAATTAAAACGGATATTGAGATTTAAAACAGTCGTTAAAACCTAAAACACCGGCGATACTGAAACCTTATAACGAACGATGATGACGAAATAATATAGTATATATTTAAGTGTTTATTACCTACCTACTAAATATTTCATTGTCAATTCTTGGGAGCAAAATATAAATAATGCTTAATTTTCAAACGGCTCGTTTAAAGATTGCGGTCATCATGTGAATAGTCAAAATGGCGTGTAAAACGGAAAACATAAATATGCACCATTTAAGCATAAACGAGCTTAATATTTTTAAGTGTAAACGTAAATGAGTTTGTTGATAAATGTGTACAAATATCTATTTACCAAGAGTGATCCATAAAATTTGTTACTCATTTTTTTTTTCAGGTAAATCTGTCTTACGGTGTAACCGTATCAAGTCTGACTTGTTTACCAATGAAATGTATCTGAATTTGAATTAGCAAAATAATCATAGAAACATATTTGTAAATACTAGGCAAGATGTATAGCAATTTTGCAAGCATTTTATTTATTTTTTATGATACATAGTGACGGGACGAACATGTCGTGCGCCTGGTGGTAAGCCTGTAAATTAAAGTTGCAGTGCCATTCAGAGCTTTAATCGCAAAAATTTGGGGGTCACTGCCACTGTGCCAGGGTGACAATGAGACGCAAGTTGACAAGTCCCACGTGCCCATAATTTCACCAGTACCCTTACCTTTCAAAACCAGAACACAGTAATTCTCACATTACTACATAGCGACAAAAATAGGGAAGGTGGTAGTACTTCCCTGGATGAACTCTTTCACAAGGAGATCTAACTGTTATAAATAGTAAATAGTTTATTAGTAGAAATCTTAAAGTTGTGATATTGAATCTCACATAAGTTTTTAGATATATGTCCACACTTCTAAATTTAAAGAAATATTTCACACATATCCTGTATGTGTGAACGTCTCACGGCTATGCCACATGGAGGGAAAGTATCATAAATACCGTAGATAGAAGATTTTACTGAAAGAAGACTTCATTTTGATTTTAAAAACAATTCGAACTGCATTCAAAGATTTTTAAATAAACGCCTGTCTGAACCGGGAATTGAACCCGCCAAATGTGAAAAAACCTGCAATTTTACTCTATACGTACTGACGAAAGAATCAATCATAAGGGTTGTTTTCTTCTAAATAACATAGCATCTTAAATAAAAGGAAGACCTTGAAATTTAATGTTCTTCAGCTTTCCGAAGATGATTGTCTTGCACGTCCATGTCTATCTGAGAACCTTTGATTTCTGTGTCAACACACTGTACATGTACACAAATTTGAGGATTTGAATGGGATCCCCTCATCAGATTCTAACTTGGTGACAACGCGACTATCTCGAGAGTATGCACTTTCAGACAAAAAAGAATTTTCAAAATCGGACCACAATTGACGGATAAACCGATGAACATATATAAAATATACATAAAACTATTGCTAAAAAATACTGAATATTCTACTAAAAGTTACAGGTGGCGGACGAGTCACAGAACTTTTATTTTTTATACCCCTTTATCTGACTAGAACTCTTCTATTGAGTAGTAATTTTTAAAGGCCAGTCATTGGATTCTTAGACATAGAACAGGCTTCCTATATTTTGGCGTCGGTTTCAAACACCTATGGGACCCAAGAGCTCATATACCTTGCCTAATGTATTGACATAGCTATACAAGGCGGAAACACTGCCAGCATTATGGAACCCTACCAGCAGTATTTTAGCTCTGATTGTATATTAGCCCTTTGTATCTTATTAAATAAATTTATACCCTTGGTATAATAAACTCACATGTGATCACACATTAAAAGTACTTTTATCACATGAAAGTCATAAAAATAATACGAAGTACATGAAACAAATTATGTACAAGTAAAATTTTATCACTCTCTTATTTAATCTTAGAAATTGTCGACTAATTTCTTTCCTAAAATTATTAGACATTGTCATTGTCAGTTTGCAGAGTTGTCAGATTGGCCTTTTTTATTACATCAATGGTGCTAATTGTTCACGGTCTTTAGATAGTTTTTTTATATACATTTGTTTTACCTGCGTACGTCATATGTTAATAACGTATATTTCATAGCTCCATATTTCGACACTTTTTGAACTAAACTTACACGGTTTTGCCTACATAAAGACGAAGTATATCTACTCTAGATTTTCCCGCAACGTAAATACAGTAATCGTCTAAACGCTCTAGATATTACAAAAAAACACACAATTACTGGTCTATTTGTAATTCATATTTGTCGTAAAATGCACACAAGGTCATTTTAAAGAAGTTGTTACAGTTGACAGTTTTAAATAGGCACATTGACCTCCGTGGTGTTGCAATGGTATACATTAAGGTACAGTACTCCAGGCACGCGCAAGCTGACCTCTGACGCAATTGTTTGTTTGGACTGTGCATGCTGAGTGGATGACTGTATACTCAAACTTAGCAATTACTTGAATTAGTATCTTTACACGATAGGATAACAAGGTATGTTTTAATAAATACCAGCTTACTTTTATTTAAAGGCTGACAAAAATGGCTAAATTTATTTCTTTAGTTTTTCTTTGTGGGATGATGAAGATGGGATGTGAACCGTTCGTTAATAACATCAAATTACATTAAATTAAATATTCCTTGAAAGAGCTCTTGGTCGAAAGCTTGAAAATGACCAGCGATGAAGAAAAAACAAGACAATAGGATAACGATCAGTTAAGTTTCGCAAAGACTCACGCTCTCTTTATATATATATATATATGTATATATATAATATATATAATATAATATATATATATTATATTATATATTGTAGGGACAGTATTGTATAAGTATGAAATTTTATACCCGGAATGTAACTAGCCTTGTCCACAGCGAGTGCGTGAGTCTATATATATATATATATATAGGGCTTATGGTTCACAATTAGGGCATGCAAAAACCGAGTGATTTTGATTTTTTTGTTTCGGTATTTTATTCTCGGTTAACTGGTTACTCAGTTTTTTCTAAAATAAAATAATTATGCATATTTGCAATCAATTCAAAAGCGACTCGAATTTGTTGCTATACTGCTCGCGTACCTTCATCGCGCACCTCGCTCACTCCTCGCTATCCCAAAAGTTACCTGTTTCCGTCTCGAGGACGCTGTCGCTGTCCTGTAGTAAGGTACCCGAGTCATTAGCGTTTAATTAACGTTTATTTATCATTATTAACTAGGATACGATGATATTATGAGTTATGAATTTAAGTTTTAATAGAAAACCCGAAAATCCAGAAAAACCCGATTTTTCTTTAGCTGTAATTCCAAAATGGACGGTTATTCGGTTAACCGGGTAATCGGTTTGCATGCCCTAACCGCAATGAGTATGCGACTCCATCCCCCTAATCCTCATTCTCAAATATTATACAATACTATAAAATAAAATGTTTGGTTCACTGTTGCATAGTCGTGTACTCGATAGTTATCTTGGACTTGTAGCAACCAACGATGCGTAGTAAGCATCTCTAATCGTGAAATATTTCTTTTCGGTAGAGTATTTAAGGTGAATGCATCGTCCCACATCGCATCATTCGCTTGTTTATCTGTCAAGGAAAACACACCAGAACAGAATGTACAAACTGGTAAATGAACAAATTAAATAGAAATTATGTATTGAAATTTTAGGAATGTGAATTTAAAAAAATATCCTATGAGACGAATGAATAGATTTATTATACGATTGTGTTTATCGCAGTTGATGAAGCGATAACTTGTATAACAGATACTAATTTATACTTTTGTTGTTATGATGATAAATAATTGACTTGTATTTAACAGGTGATTTTCACTGCCCTCATCGCAGTTGTGGCGTCCAAGCCTGGCCTCCACTCAGTAGCATATCCTGCTGCCTACACCGCTCCACTGGCGGCTACGTACACTGCTCCAGTGGCGGCAGCTTACACTGCTCCAGTAGCAGCTGCGTACACTGCTCCAGTAGCGGCTGCGTACACTGCTCCAGTAGCGGCTGCTTACGCTGCTCCTATTGCTGCCGCGTACACCGCTCCAGGTTTTGCTCCACCAGTATCTGCAGCATATACAGCACCTGTAGCAGCAGCTTACACTGCACCGGTGGCAGCAGCCTACACAGCTCCAGTAGCTGCCTATTCCGCCCCCTTGGCCGCTGCCTACAGAGCACCTATTCTCTACAAGTGATATCATAAGATAGCGTTTCGTATATAACTTTTATTAGAAAAAAATGAAATACCAAATAAATTGATACATTTCTATTTAGCTGTTCTTTGTGAGGTATCCCGATATTTTCAAAAGTATATTTCAAAACAATTATACATCGTATTTTAGCACTAATACATACAAACTTTCTTTTATGTTGTTAGCCTATTAACGTTTATAACGTCATAATAATAACAAAGACGTTCAGATTACGATACCCTTCTCATACAATAGCACAAAACACTACGTGAATTCCCAAAATAAACATATTGTTAGGCCTTATATCACTTAACAGCGCCATATCATTACGTGAGCGCCTACAATGGACGGCCAAAACAGGCACACTATTATCAGTTTAGGACCACTATTCAGTTTTGAGACAATGCAACTATAACAGGCGCAAGGTGTGCCCAGATACAAGCTTAACTCATGAATTTTGGTAACTTAGTAAAATACATATACATTGTTCAAAAAATTTTATTGATTTCTCACAGATGGCGCTACGGCAAAAAGTCGTTAAAAACCATTGACTTATAACCAAAACAAAGATCTGCAGCAAACACATGGAAAAATTCGTGAGGTCCGTTGGTTCATCCCGTGGCGTAGTTGGCATACCACCTGGCATGGAATTACCATTATTACTGAAAAATAAATTAAAATTGAATAAAAAAGATTACAAAATATTATTATTAAAATGAACTAATTTTGTAATTACGTTTCTATGAAAAATTTAAAAATAAGGTATTTAATTATTAATTTTGACCTAAGACGTGTCGCTTCGTTCTTTGTTAACTCGCCGCGTGATATTTTAGAATCCGTTTTAACCTGATCCATCTCTTATACTTTCGGATTAATTACTGTACAAAGTGCATGAAACAACTAATTGCAATCAGTTGACGTTACTACGTGACGTTACTCTTCGTTATTAATTCGTTCACCGCCAGCTAAACGAATTGATAACGAAGAGTGAATTAGTCGATTATCAAGTAATTATCTACTAAATCTGCGAGATTCTCCGCTAACATGTCGAGGGCTGTTTTCCTCGACGTTTTCGGCCCTGACTCCGACATACACACATATTAGTTTTTCTCAACCAGTCCAAAAACTATATATATAAATAGTATTCGTATAAATTCATCTACCCTCTAAGATGTCAAGCTAGCCCCAACACACGCATACACACACATACGCATGCACGCACGCACGCAATCTTACTCTAACCTACGTTAGGTTCAATCGTATTTCATAGTATTTTTCCTTTTTTATTATTATTATTTTTCAGTAAGTATGTAATTCATCTAAAATAGATTTATATTATTCTGGGTCGGAGACCTGGTGTCCCAAGATACAGAGCCTACATAGTTTGGGCACCAGTCTCCCGATAGGTTCTCACTTGAATGTATTTTTTAAATTGTATGTGTATGAGAGAGAATAAATGATTATTATTATTATTTTATTTAAAATAAAATAGCACCCTTACGACCCTTATCTAAAAAATGACAACTTTGCAGGACAGAGGTTTCAAGATTCTACGAGCTAAATTAGTTAATAACGTTTTTATGGTTCTATAGGAGAGTTATAAAATTTCACTAATACATAATTTGTTTCATGTTACTTCATATTATTTTTATGACTTACAAGTGATAAAACACTTTTGCCGTATGATCTCATGAGACTGTACTATTGTAAAGGTACGAAATTATATTTTAGAGTGTACACTGTTAGATTAAAATTGCATATGAACTAAGAAAGTTGTTGTGCCGATAACAGTTGCAGCGCCGATCAAAACTTTAAATCTGAGGGGCACTGCACTGCGCCTGTCACCTAGAGACATAAGTTTACAAGTCACCGGCAACTTTACCCTAAAAAACCAGAATACAGTAATGCTCACATTACAGCTTGGCGACAGTAATAGGTAAAGTGGCAAGGACGAAGTCTTTCACAAGAACCTCTATTGCTACTAAAATTTCACTTGAACTAAGAAACGTCACCAGATATTCTAAAATGTACTTACCACACTAAGTCCTTTCGTATGTAATACATACGTATGAAATATATAGTCTACACGATACAATACACGTAGCAATAATTACAATAGAAGCGCATCGAATTGCGTCATAGGTTCCTCCAATAGTTCGATCATACTTCCTGTGAACGTTATTTAATTAAGGTCTTAGCTCTAGCCCTTGTACGACTGCCAAACACTTGCTTCGTTACTTTTATTAGATTTTCAATTAAATGCTGTAGCATTTCATTGTTTTAAAACACACTTATATACATAGGGAAAAAAACAATATATGTTAAAAATTTTAAATTTAAACAAGACTACATTTTGGTAGCAGTAGCACTCCTATAGAAAGAGTTCGTCCAGAGTGCCGGGTGCTAGAGGTGGGCATTTAAACGAAAAGCACTTAAAAAAGTCTGCTTTTTAAAATAAGCGCATAAGCATGCTTTTCATTTTAAGCGTAAAAGTGTTTAAATTCAAATTCAAATTCAAAATAATTTTTATAACATATTTGCTCGTAAAGTGGCTGAAATCACACCAATTTCAATATCGTAATGTATTTCATTACGCACTTGTGCGTTATTGTAATGTAAAACGCACAAGTGCGTTATTGTAATGTAAAACGCACGAGTTTTTTTTTAAATAAAGTAACATGCACGGTTTTTTAAGATGCTCCGTCTAAAAATGAACGATACTTTTTTAAATCTTTGCAAAGAGTTTTTATGTTAGAAAAGTGGTCAATATTTTATGAATAAAATTAACTTTGGGAGATAAAATATAGTAAATAAACATTTAATTCTTTCATTTAACTAATTTTGACAATAAATTACAACCTTTTATCTGTAACAAAAACACAAAAATATTAATTTACTTTATTATTAATACTGGGTATTTTTATACCTTTGCCTAAAAAAAAAACGTTGAAACGCACGCATGGCTAATTTGTGGACAAGTAAAAATTATTTCGCGCGCTTTTTCTTTTCGCTGTATTGTTTTTATTTGAAAATGTCGTCAAGTAGTGATGAATTTATTAATTTGACACCGCCACAAGTCTTAAACGCAGCGAAAAAAGCTACTCTAAGCCTCTTACCTGAAAAATCGACCGATAGATACTTACAAGCGTATCAAAATTTCATCATATGGAAAACAAGCAAAGATGCAAATTCATTTTCAGAAAATGTGTTTTTAGCCTATTTCATGGAACTTTCTCAAAAATATAAGTCAAGCTTATTGTGGTGCTACTATTCAATGCTAAAGAAATGCCGAAAGAAATTGCCACTTTCTTAAATTTGCCTCAAGCACATGAATACACAGGGCATAGTTTCAGAAGGTCCTCGGCTACATTGCTCGCCGATTCAGGTGCGGACTTATTGACACTAAAACGCCACGGAGGATGGCGGTTAAGCAATGTAGCCGAAGGATACATAGAAGACTCGATAAGAAATAAAGAAGAAATTAGCTCTCGCATTACAAGGAACATAAATTTGGAGTCAAGTGTTGACTTTCAACCATCTACGAGCACACACGCGTACATTCCACCGTCGTCGCCGCAGCCGCAACCGCCTCCGCCGCCGGCGCCGCCACCGACTGCAGAACTCTGTGGTCGTTTCTCCTACTTTCACTCAAGAGACTGGGGAGATTGTAACTAATAATAATAACTTGACAACATTAAAAATGCCAACTGGCAACGTAACAATCACTTTTAAAAATTGTTCAAATTTCTAAATTATCGCCTCGGCTGTAATTTTCAACTTACCGCACTTATATCATAATGTACTATTATTTCATAGGTAAGCATTATTACACTTGAAATCGTCACCATGGTTAAACTCTACCGCTCATTCGTAAGGCAGATTCCCCTGAGAAGAAT